GCCAATCGTGTTACAGACACGCGGGAAAGAATGGAGCTCACCTGCATCCTGCACCAGCCGGGAGAGTAGCCCGTCTGAACAACAATAAGCGCAACCCTTGGCTCCCGCGTTGGAGAGGGTGCAGAAACGCTGCAGTACACAGGGATGGAGGGAACCTGCCACACATTTGTGTCCATCGTCAATGAAACAAAATTAAGCAGCATCAACAACACAACAGCAGTCCGGAGCAGCACCTGGCAGTAGTGCTTGCCCAATGCTCTGAGTAGCGCGGCGAGAGATGCTTAAGAGCGCATTATGGATATTGAGAGCTGGGAAGTGGTGAAAAGTTCTCCTACGAGAGTAACAAGAGCAGCATGGGACAAAAGACACATCGATTATGGGAGTGGCAGTAACAGTATGCGGTGCCCATTGTCAGCCTCCACACAAACAGTCATGCCAAACGTGGCGTGGGTAGGTGTGGCGCCACCACCACCGCCCCGTGGCAATCACGTCCTCAGGCAGTGTCTACAAAGATAAACTGTGTGTGTGTCCGTGTGTGTGCTCCCCGTTGAGGTCTACGGGGTTGACACGCCCACACCCCGTGCTGCAATTCCGCCGGTGGATACGTAGGGAAGCACAAACACAACTGGACGACAAAACGCCCACGCCACCACAGCATCAGGTCTCCCAAAACTATCTCACAAGTTCAAATAGCATGTACACACTGCCACCAAAAGCAGATGTTCCGGAATCCCCGTAGCCCCCCGCATCGGAGCGCAAACAAATGGTGCCACTTAACGTAGAATAATCCTCTGGGACGCTGGCCGGATCCTGAAATTTCCTATAGAAACCAAACAAGGTAGGGGAAAAAAGTGGGGTTATCGCAGAGGTAGTTAATTGCCTCAATGTTTTCTTTTTATTCAATAAATAAATTCAATTGACGGTTCGCATGGTCTTTTATCCTCAGTTAGAATCTAAAAGTTAATTACTTACGAAGTAGCAGACTTTTGGGTCTTCCAACCACAAGACCCCGCCGCGTGGCGGGTATCAAAAGTGGGTTGGGTTGGATGGCAAAACAAGAATAGAATTGCCTATTCGCTGTCTGCTCCCTGCTCCCCCCCTAAAGTTGTGTTCTTCCCACGTTCATAAGACAGAAAAGTATCATAAAGAAGTGATTTCGTTTTATCAGGATTCAAAATTAATTAAGTTAGCCAGCTTTCCCGCGATTATTCTCTTCACAAGCTCCCAGAATAATCCGCTTTAAAAATAATTTAAAAAATATTCAACTCATAAAAAGTACTTGCTGGCAAATTATAAAAATATTTTTTTTTTTTGGAGGAAAACTCATTTTCTTCTGCGGGCCTCAAGGCTCTTTGTAATGCACGGGGGAAGACGGAAAACGCCTCATGTGTCTCGATTGCTGATAAATGTAGTCCATTGCGACAATCCGTTCAAGTTCCGGTGGGAGGCGAAGCTCCTCGTCGCTGATTGCTTCCCCGGGATCGCATGAACAGGCTGTACACACACCCAGATACTTCAGGTGGTCCTCAATGGAAGTGGGAATGATGCTGTCACTGCAATTGGGGTCCTCATTGGCGGTCAAAGCAGAACACGGTGTGCCAAAGGTATCAGTGCAGTTCTTGTGCACCGTGTCCCCGTCATTGCCGTACCATACTTCATTGGGAGCGTGGTAAAATCCAAACAACATCGGGAGAAGGTGGGGCACAACATCCCGCTTGTGCGTCACGCGGTACAACTCATGGCCGCCGCGGCAAAACGATGCAAGAAGCCAGTTGGCGAATGCCTCGTTTCCCACGCGCGGCTGCCCAAACGTGTACAGCAAAACCTTCACTGCACTGGGAAACAAGGAATTCTGCGACATCAAATTGGCAGCGGCGATATTGGCCATGGCGCCGCCAAGGCTGTGTCCAGTGACGAGAATTCTCTCGATTCCTTTCTCCGCAACAAGTTCCTGTAGGTACCCCCACATCTCCGCCCACAATGAATTCAATTCGCAATCGAAGCCGGTGTGAAAAAGACACCCAACGCAACCATCCTGTATGTACGCAACAGGAATAAAATCCAGATCGTATAGCCAATTATTAATATCCACTGTCCCGCGAAAACTTACCACAATCATGCTCTCGTTGACGCCCACAAACGCCTGCGTGCTATGCGCGGCATTCGTAAATACACGCACCTTTTGCAATCCCGGGTTCCTGGCGCAGGAGGCACAAGTCCAGCTGGGAATGGCTTCGGCCTTGCAGTACGCTGCCTTCGCATAGTACAGTGCCGTCGTTGCCAACTGCACCGAGTAGTCGGCGCGGACATCCTCCCCGCAGAGAAGGATGAGGAGGACGACCACGACAGTCATGGTGCGGCGGCGCATTGCCTCGGTTGTTGCCTGTGAAATGCCTTGGAGACTAGTGGAGCAGTCGGAGGGGAGAGAAGAGGGTGGGGGGTGATGGGCTGGTGGGCAGAGAGGACGTGGGAAGGCACAGCAGCAGCAGCGGGGAGAAAAAGAAAAAATAACGGAATATGAGTCCCATGAAATGCCAAGAAGTCCAAAATGTTTTTCTAAGCCAAAGAAAAACCAAACCAAACCAAACCAAACAAAACAAAACAAGAAAAATCGGCTTTCAGTTGTTAAGAGTGCAAAAATTTCAAAAAGCCAAAACGCTGCCCGAATTTGAGAGAAAAAAACAACGAAACAACGGTCTGGTGGTCTGAGACAAACCAGGTGCATACATATGAAGTGGTTTCCGGGCGGCTTGCGAATGAGCGTCCCTTTCAAGCCCTTCCCCCAATGGCCCACGACCCCGCAGCAAGGCGGGCCCGAGGGAGCGGGTGGGGTGAAAAATGAGAATTGTCTGACCCTCCAACGCGGCTCAACCACGACGCATCCGCAATCCCCCGGAGATAAAACAAAAAGAGAAAAAGAAAAGAATTACAGGTTTCCATTTAAATAGGGGATAATAGAAAGGGTTGCACCATCGGACGCAATCCTTCCACAAGCTGTTCAATACGTCAAGGTACATCGCGCACACAGTGTTATTGTGCGGACCACACCAGGCATCGCCACTGCAAAAATTATTTACGCAGCGGAAGGACCAACCATTCAGGATTAAGAACGTCGTTCAACGAGCAGACTTCAGGAAAGGGAATCGTTTTTGCCTTCCGATCGGCGTCGTATATTTTCACAGTGGCATTCTGCACAAAATCCCTGGTCTCATTCATGACGTCAGGGGAATAACGCAGCCAGTCCACCCACGTTGTGCGGTTCAGCAGTGTAGGCATTTTGTCCCACAAGTAAGGGGGCCCGGGAAAGTGGTACAACGCCGGGGACCCAAAGGCCCCGAAACGCGGTGTGAGAAAGAAGGAGTTGTTGTAGTCAAGACTCAGAAGACCATATCGTATGCGGAAATCGGCAGTCACATTCGTGTCCCGGGTCACGCTCCACACATGCAACAGCGACCAGATGCTCTGGTCACACCACCATTTATCACTCGTCGCCAAAAGGCTCGCATATGCTTTGTACGCCTCTCGAAATGCCCACACACGCCCCACCATTCCTCCACCAGCAAGGAATCGGTACTCCGACGCCAGAAAACGCACCATGCGCTGATCCGCAGAGGACTTGGCGGCCTCCCATACACGTTCGTAGTACCAACCGCATTTCTCGTATGTGTCGGAAGGCCCCCATGGGACCATGAGTTCCATCTGTGGCGCATAACAGACTGGGTCACTCTCAAACAACAAGGGGGCTGCTGCCTCACCTCGATGCACCGCCGTGGCGTTGAAGGCGTCTGCGGTGGGCGCTGTTGTTGCCACAAAGTCCTCCACGGCCTGCTTTATCCCAAGGGGTCCGGTGAACATCGTGTCGCCACCATCGAACACCACCACCACGTCCTCATCGCGCAGGCCCTCGTCAGCTATGCAGTCCAGCAGCAACGACGGGCGGGATGTGTGTGTGTAATTCGCCCCCATGCCAATCGTTGTTACAGACACGCGGGAAAGAATGGAGCTCACCTGCATCCTGCACCAGCCGGGAGAGTAGCCCGTCTGAACAACAATAAGCGCAACCCTTGGCTCCCGCGTTGGAGAGGGTGCAGAAACGCTGCAGTACACAGGGATGGAGGGAACCTGCCACACATTTGTGTCCATCGTCAATGAAACAAAATTAAGCAGCATCAACAAAAAACAGCAGTCCGGAGCAGCACCTGGCAGTAGTGCTTGCCCAATGCTCTGAGCAGCGCGGCGAGAGATGCTTAAGAGCGCATTATGGATATTGAGAGCTGGGAAGTGGTGAAAAGTACTCCTACGAGAGTAACAAGAGCAGCATGGGACAAAAGACACATCGATTATGGGAGTGGCAGTAACAGTATGCGGTGCCCATTGTCAGCCTCCACACAAACAGTCATGCCAAACGTGGCGTGGGTAGGTGTGGCGCCACCACCACCGCCCCGTGGCAATCACGTCCTCAGGCAGTGTCTACAAAGATAAACTGTGTGTGTGTCCGTGTGTGTGCTCCCCGTTGAGGTCTACGGGGTTGGCACGCCCACACCCCGTGCTGCAATTCCGCCGGTGGATACGTAGGGAAACACAAACACAACTGGACGACAAAACACCCACGCTGCCACAGCAGCGGGTCTCCATGTACAAATCCCAAGTGTCCTTCCAAAGCAAATAAAGAAAAGGGGTGTTCCAGACCCGACATGAAACAAGTAATTCCCTTCGCAAAATATTTATCTGGCTTGGGCGTATTACGATCCCTAAATACGCACATTTTCGAAACAATGGACAACAGAAAGCGACAAGTGGGACCCCAAAATAGTCTTTGTAAAGACAGACGTCAATTATCTCGTTGGAGTCCACGACGAACGTCATTGCCTTGCCGCGGACATCCGAGCGCCTGCTGATCATCCCCAGCCTCCACATTAATATACTGTTGAACCCCAGCGCGTGCGCAATCTCGTGCGAGACCACGCGTATGCTTTCTCTCTTGGGGGCAATGAAGCTCGGGCTGAGGTTCAACACACCAGCAGCCGGCCGTCCGTCCTGCAGCGTCACACACGTGGAGGCCCACGCGACAGTCCCACCGATGGTGGGTGCAGCGGCAGCGTACAGCAACATGTCGGCACCAACAACTCCCGACAAGTGGTGCGTGATGGGGACAGTAAACTCGCCGCAGACTCCCAGCTTGAACCTTGGCAACCTCAAGACGCCACTGACGGGCTGCACAAAAAGCCGCTCCGTGTGCAGCTTGACGGCCTCGGGCAGCAGCCTGTTGACCATAATTCTCATCTTCTCTTTCGTGAGAACATCCTGCCGCCGGCACAAAACCCTGCCCCCAGTGAAATCCGATCGTACGTCTCCCCGCACCGTGCAGTACTTCGTCGTGTCCTTCAGGTCCTCCGCAAACACTTTAATCCGGATCGGCGCCCAGTCAGGGGTGGACACGGTGTACGCCTGCCATGCGCCTGCTCTTCCCCGTGGGAGCTCCTGCACCACGGCGGTCTGCAGCTGGGACCAATTCAAGGCGACCCTGTCAAAGATGCAGCGGTGCTCCGCGAGGGCGCAGGGACCACCGGCGAGCCAAAGGAGAAAAAGCAGCACGGTGGACACGAATCGACGCATGTCTCTGTTACTCGTTTCTTCCAGCCTTGGACGTGTTCTTCTTTTCTGCGTCACCTGCGCAAGAGAAGGCGGGAGAGGAGAGAGTGCAGTAAGTGTGAAGGAGAAGCGGGGAGTACCGAGGGAGCAAGAGAAGGGGACGCAGCCAGAGCCGCCCTCGGTGACGCTCGTCACCGACACAGCAGGGAGGTGTAAGCATGTAACAAAGAAACATGAAAGACGGTGGTGCGGTCGGAGCGGAGTGTTTTTGTGCCTCTCCTCCTCCTCTCACTCCACACTTTATTTTGTGACGTACCAAGGGAGTGAGGAGGCGTACATACGGCATCATGATCTTTGATTGCTGTCGGGCCGCTGTCATTCTCCCAGGCGTCCCAAAGTGATC